GCCATGCTGGGACTGCCCCACTCTTCTCCGGCCCTGTCCCTCACTGGACACTGCAGCAGGAGAGCTGGCCCCAGCCCTCATGGGAGAGCTGCCCGCTCCACCCTCCCTGCACTCGGGAGAGATGGCCCCACCGCTCACCACAGGTGAGGAAGAACCAAGTCTGAGGGTATGAGCCGGGAGGGGAGCTGACTCCACCCCTCACCTGAGCAGGGCTACCCCAATGGCCCAGACTGACCAGCTCAACTACCACCCAGTCCCACAGCCACACCTGTGGTTGGCCCACCCTAACATCTACCCCATCTAGAACCTGCTAGAGCTTGTGAAGGGACTGGTCCTGTGGAAGGATACCCACAGGATCTCCATGACAACTGGGGGCAACCGCAGGATATCCCAGAGGAGTTTCGGTGAGAAACCAGTGATGATGGTGTACCAGAAACCAGAGGCCTTGAGCCAGACCAATGACTCACCACAATGAACACTTGCTAGTAAAGCTGATTGGACGCACCGCACCAAGATGAGTGAAGAGGTGTTAGAGAGGCAGGAAAGACAGAGAAGGAAGAGGGTTTTGTGTTTGGTTGGTTTGGTTAGTTTGCTTGTTTTGGTTTGGTTTGGTCTTTTAAATTCCTTTTGTGAGGGTGCTGCAGGGATGAGGGGAGGCTATGGGGGACTGGGAGGTGAGTGAAATTACGGTGCACGATGTGAAACTCCCAAAGAATCAATAAAGAAATTATGCTAAATAAAAAAAGAAAGAAAGAATGCAACAAACAAGGTGAAGCCATCGCCAATGCTGCCATCGGACTGGGAGGCACACTCCGGGGTGAAGGCAGGAAGAAGCCAGAAACCCAGCCATGTGGCCAAGTCCAGGAAGGGGATGGAGCTGCCGAAGTGTACAGTCAGGGTCTCTAAAGGAGGTGGGGGGGGGGGGGAGACACCAAAACAGCTTGCCCACACAGCTTCCATGACAGGCTTACTGGCAGTTACCACCCAGTGCCCAGGAAAAGCATAAACTGGCACTTCCCAGGAACAGGCCAATTAGCAGCCCAGGGGAAAATATCTAACATTCCAACCATTATATCACCAGGTGCCCTTTAGCCCAGCACACACCTATTTCCCTTTTACCAAGATACCCCTAGATAAATGTCAATCGGGGTCCTGAACCCTGGAAATCCCCTCACCCCCAACCTCTACTAAGATTAAAAACCCCACCCTGCCTGGGCTCAGGACTCTCCAACTGTACCCTGCACCACTGAGGTGGGCACACAGCTCAGCTTGCTTGAATAAAGGCTCTTTGCTTTTGGATACAGATTTGGACTCCTTGGTGGTCTTTGAGGGGGGACCCCACGATCTGGGTATTACATAAGAAAGGAGCTGAGGGCCGGGCGGTGGTGGTGCACGCCTTTAATCCCAGCACTTGGGAGGCAGAGCCAGGTGGATCTCTGTGAGTTCGAGGCCAGCCTGGGCTACCAAGTGAGTTCCAGGAAAGGCGCAAAGCTACACAGAGAAACCCTGTCTCGAAAAACGGAAAAAAAAAAAAGAAAAGAAAAGAAAGGAGCTGAGGGGCTAGAGAGATGGCCCAGTGGTTAAAAGCACTTGCTGCTCTTGCAGAGGACCTGGGTTCAGATCCCAGCACTCACATGGTGCCTCACAAACACCCATAACTTCAGCTTCAGGGGACCCGAGGTCCTCTTCTGGCCTCCATCAGCACCAGGCACACACGTCGTGGGCACATGCCAGCAAAACATCCACACCCGTAAAATAATAAAATAAAAATGTTAAAGGGTACACACTGCAAAACACAGTGTCCCCATGGAGGCAAAAATGAAAGTATAATCAATAAACAATAAAAGACAAAATGCAAATTTCAAACTACTCAATTTAAAAGAACAGAAAAGAAAAGAAAAAACAAATTAACAAATCGAATAAAAGGAAAACGAACAGCAAAATGACAGCCTTAGTGCAAAGTAACCAGTAACTGTGCTGAGTAGACACAAACACGTGAGGTAAAAAGCAGACATAATTAGATTGAGTTTTTTTTTTAAGCATAATCTAATTGCTTGCAATGGACAAAGGGGCAAATTGAAGACTACCTGGGCTGGTCAGGCAGTGGTGGCGCATGCCTTAAATCCCAGCACTCGAGAGGCAGAGGCAGGCGGATCTCTGTGAGTTCGAGCCCAGCCTGGTCTACAGAGTGAGTTCCAGGACAGCCAGGGCGACACAAAGAAAAACAAACAAACAAACAAACAAAGACTGCCTAGGCCGCTAGAGACCAACAGCATGGTTGTATCCCGGGAGACTCGTTTAGACTCTCCCCTCTCCCCACACTCCGCCTACCCTCCTCAGGTAACACTGCCTCAGTGTAGCAAAGAATGTGGAATTTCTAAACTTTCTGTAATTTTGAGACAGAGTCTCACTGTGTAACCCAGACTAGCTTCAAAAGTCCAATGCTCCTGCCTCAGACTCCTGAGTGCTGGGGTCAGGTCAAAGGCAAGTATATGCCACCACACTCCACTTAATCTTACTGATTCTAAAAACTAAATTACCTACATCTGTCTCCATCCATCCTTCTTACTAATTAAAACAAATAAATACTTTATTAACTTACTAGTTAATTCTTTATTCATTTACTAATTAATTTACTCCATTAATTCTTACTAATTAAAATAAAGAAGCACACTTCTGAACAAACCGAGTCTCTCTCCCTGGGCTTTGATTTGTAGCCTTCAAATGATCCTGCTACCAAGTCTCTCACTCCTGCTCTTGGGGTCTTGACAACTTCCTCTCTGCCTGTAGTCCGGCCTCCCCTCTCTTCTCACGGCCAGACCTTCTAACAGCCCTCACTGGAGGCTGATTCTGAGGGAGGTGACCCTGAGGGACTCAGCGAAAGCTTCCAGCTTGCCTAAGCACATGTTTTGAGCCGCCATATAAAAAGAAATAAAATTCTATTGTACTCAAGCCACAAAGTCTTTGTGCTTATGTGTTCCAAGGCGGATTTGACCTAGCCACACTAAGGCAGGTGCCATTTTAACCTTCCATCTCGTGTTCAATATCCTTCTCCACTTGAAATGCTTGAAATACCTGAACTGCACCCCTGCCTTGCTCTTGCCTATTACCCTCACACTCTGAGACAGGGTGGATGTTCACATCTCTCCCAAGTACCTATACTGATCCCTGATCCCCATGAGCGTGTTACATGCAGCCTTTGAGGAGTTATTAGGCTTAAATGAGGCAGCAAGAGTGGAGGTCCTCGACAAGCCTGAAGCCCTTAGAGAAAGAGGGCGAAGTTCCAGCTCCTGCCCTCACTGAGGACATGTTGGAAGACTGTCCAAGGCCACGGTATGGCTCTTTCTAGGGACCTTGTTCCCAGCATCCAGAATGGGATTACTTAAGTCATTAGTTCTGTTATTAGTGGCCTGAGTAGACTGGAACACTTCTGGCACTTCTGTTACCTCCACAGCCCTTGCCTCCTTGGCTTTTTTGGTTTTGACTTTTAGAAATAGAAACAGTTGTTGTTTTTGTTTTTTAAATCTCAATTGTATGTATCTGTGATGAGCAAGTCAGGCTAATTTACATATATCTGTCACTTCAAGTCTTTATCAATTCTTTGTGCCGAGAATTAAATCTCCCATCAGCCTCTCTGACTTTGAATTTCGATGGAGAGAGCCTAAACCCTTGCAACATCTCACCCTCTCAGCCCCATTCAACGGCCTCCTTCCTGCCACACGCACTCATCATGACCCAGCACCTAACTCAGGACATGCATGCAAGGAAAGTTTCCATCCAGCCTAAACACGCAGATTTCTGTCAGTCTTGGTGGCCATCCTTCACCTACTCACCTGACTATTATGTGCTTTCCCAAGACACAGTTACTCAACAAGTGGTAAATACTGTAGCAATTTCACCTTAACAATTTAGTTATCTCTTTCTCTTCCTAGACTGAGATCTTGGAGTCCACATACTAACCTGAGGGAATACTCATTGCATGCATGAATGAATACTCCCTCCAAACAAAGATTTCATAAACTGTTTTCAACAAATTTTCCAAGTCATTATTTGTAGGTAAGATTAATGAATGTCTTTATGTCTATACCAACAAAAGAGCTGTTCCTTTTGTTACCACACTGGGTATATAAGCTTATAAGAATAACTGGTGTTTGAGATTAAAACTAGAGAGGGATTTTACTATTTGGGTAAGTTGGTGAACTATGAAATCAAATAAACACACATGTTTTGTGTTTTGAGCACAGCAGTTCATGTCTTGTTTACATGATAGTTCTCAACAGGTGTTCAGGGCAGCTGGGCCTCCAGGACTCCAGGCTGCTTCCAATGCCTCACCTGCATCCTGCAGGACAGGGCAGGAGAGGAAGAAGAGTGTGTGTTTACTAAAATACCTTGGATCAGAAGTGCTGTAGATGGCTCCTGCCAATCTATGGCTATGTAATCCCGATGCTATGAAGAAGGAAAGAAGGACTCTGCAGACAGTGTCCTCTGTGCCCGTCACCCACTTACCCTCCCTCCCACTCTGTCTTCTTCACTGTGTTTTTGAACACGTAATAATGGCATTCTAGTGTAAAATTAGATCATATTGGATGTGCTTTTAAGCTTCTTCTTTTTATATTGATAGAGGTGATGGGACCCCAATTTTCTCCCAGGAATTTTGCTGAGAGGTAAGGACCCTGTAGAGGTGAGCGAAAGGACACAAAATTTCAGTCACATGGGAGGAATACGGTCAAGAAATTTGTCGTAGATATTTGTGACGATCATTAATAATAATAATATGTGGTGTAATTTAAAATTGCTTAGTAGACTTTCAGTGTCCTCATAAGAAGGCCTGATTTAGACATTCTGCAGTGTATATGTATGTCAAAACACCATGTTGTACATCATAAATAAATATAATTTCCCCCCCCCACCCCCGGGAGCTGAGGACCAAATCCAGGGCCTTGTGCTTGCTAGGCAAGCGCTCTACCACTGAGCTAAATCCCCAACCCCTATAAATAAATATAATCTAACTCAATTAAAAAGTGTTCTGAAAGAAGCCCATTTACCTATTTCTGTCATGTGATAGGACAGAAAGATGTCCCCCATGATCTAGGAAAGAGGCCCTTAGTAGACAGACACAGTATTGAGAAGACTGAGTAGATGCCATAACAGGCTGCTCAGTCTTCTCTCAGAGATCAGGCCTCAATTTCAGTTTCCTGAGACTAAGCAAGCAGTTTCTGAGGAGGCCACAAACAAAGGACAATCAATGTCCAGCAGCCCCAACAGCAAGGACAAAGAGGCCTGATACACATAACACCAGGCCAGGCCAGAGCCACAGTCAGCAGCTCAAGGTGATAACCAAATAAGGACAAAGCCTGGGACTTGTCCAGGCTTGCGCTAAAATGGAAAAGCTATAGCCTTAACCAGCCTCTGACTAGCCCTAGCCAATTAGAACGTACTAATATGATTGCCATTTGCTTAAGCCAATCATATGTAAGATGACCTAACTACTCTAGGACCTCCCCTTGGCTGTGCTTAAACAGGAGCCTGTGAGCTCTCAGGGTCATCGCCATTTTGCCTTGTGTGGGATGGATGGCCCCAGTATGCTGGAATCTTTCTTGAGAAAATAAACATTCTTGTTGATTGCATACATGGATGGTGGTCTTTTGTGGGACTTCTCCAGGACCCGAACAGTGTCTGCTAGAGTTTTGTATCAGCTACTTTTTTCATTGCTGATGTAAAATAGCTGACAGGAGCAGCTCCAGGAGGAGAGGCATGCCTTTGGCTCACAGTTTCAGAGGACTCAGTCCATCATGGCAAGAAAGGTATAGCATAGCAGGGAGGCCCTGGGCTCAAGATATCAAAGCTACCCCTTCTCACATTTGACAGACCAGGAAGCAAAGAATGGGACTGGAAGTCTAAGTGGGTAACCCTTAAAGGCCACCTTCAGAGAAGAGGCCATGACCAGGCAGAAGAAGCCACAGTCACCGCTGCCACCAGTGAGGCCCGCTCACCCGTTCGCCTGGCCCCCTGCCCCGTTCACCATGCAGCCTGCTTCTGCAAAGCAGTACGATCGAAGGGACTATGTATTCATTGAATTTTGTGTTGAAGACAGTAAAGATGTTAATGTAAGTTTTGAAAAATCCAAACTTACTTTCAGTTGTCTTGGAGGAAGTGATCATTTTAAGCATTTAAATGAAATTGATCTTTTTCACTGTATTGATCCAAATGATTCCAAGCATAAAAGAACAGACAGATCAATTTTATGTTGTTTGCGGAAAGGAGAATCTGGCCAGTCGTGGCCTAGGTTAGCAAAGGAGAGGGCAAAGCTTAATTGGCTTAGTGTGGACTTCAACAATTGGAAAGACTGGGGGGATGATTCAGATGAAGACATGTCCAATTTTGACCGTTTCTCTGGGATGATGATGATGGATCACATGGGTGGTGATGTAGATTTACCAGAAGTAGATGGAGTAGATGATGATTCACAGTGTTGATGAAAAAATGCCAGATCTGGAGTAAGGAATGTTGTCATCACCTGGATTTTGAGAAAGAAAAATAACTTCTGTAAGATTTCGTAATTGAGAAAATTCCTGAGTTGATAGCTCCAAAGGCAGATACTGTATTTGCCTCCTTTAACCCATTTTTCAACCTTTTTTTTTTTAAAAAAAGGCTTCACTAAGGGTTGATAATGTACCATTGTATGGGGCCATTTAAGTCAGCTAAGGCAATATCCTTATGCATGAACATTTCCCAGGATTCCATGAAGCAGTTGAGATCCTAGGCAACTGACACAGCAGCTCTGATGAATAAACACATCTTACCTAAGTCTTCTTTCTGTAACAGTTACTTACGTGTTAGGAAGCTCTCAGCTTAGGGAAGAGAACTAGTTTTAGATGCGAGACCATGGACTTGAAGGGGCTGAGACAAACTGTCTGATATCTTAACCTGATACTCTGCCATTCTTCCAGTGTACCTTTCAGAATTATTCCACTAAAGTTTATTTTTCAAAAAAAAAATGTACTTTACATTATTGTATGTGATCACTTGTCAGTGTTGAGGTGTATTTTAGCTAAAACTAGTGAATGCCCTAACTTATATGGTTCTTGAAGCCTATGCATTTGGTATTGTTTGGCCCTTGAGTTTTTACATCTTTTAACATGGAGGATGAAGAAAGCTGTACATTGTTGCTTGAGAGTCTGTACATTTTAGACCAGATTTGTATTTGCACTGTCAGTATGGCAAATGAGTGGAAAATGTTAATACATTATTGGATTTTTTAATTTCCTGTTTATTTATGCCCTGGCTGGAAAACCTCAATTTATGTTCATGACAGTGGGGATTTTTTTAAATGTCTACATTCTTTCTAATAAACTGTTGGAAGATTTAAAAAAAAAAAAAAAAAAGGCCACCTTCAGTGACCCACACCACCAGGCGAGCACCACACCCTCAAAACAGCACCACCATCTGTAACAGCTGTTCAAGCACATGGTGGGGGCATTGCCGATCTAAACCATAGCAACCTTTCATCTTGGATTTACAAGATTTACAATTTATACACATACATTTCTGTCATTTAAGAATTTTTAATGGAAGTCTTTTCTTGTTCTATTTTCTAAAATATAAAAAAGAAAGCACATTTGGGAGACTCATTCGCCAGTCACATAATCTCTTCCAATGACAGTTTCTAAGAACTAAAGGCTGATGTACTCTGCAACAAATTCATTTCTAACTATTTGTATGCTGGCTTCCTTTCCTGCCTGCTCCTTAGAATAGTAGCCTTGTACTGGAAGTCACTGCTCCCTTTCCTGGAACCAGCAGGGGATCAATTGCCATCACAGGCTGCCTGACTGGCTTCTGTCTCTCCTACCAGAGGAGCCTCTCCTTGAAGCTCTCTACACAAGTGAGAGAATTGCTTTGTCTCTGACCCTTCAGGACTCAGTGGTGATGCTGCCCCCTCAGCCACCTCCAGGGCACTGCAGTTTCCCTGTGATTTCACTAAATTCTACCCACAACCTTGTAAATTATTTCATTACACGTTCCACAACTCACACAATCTTATTTCTCTCCAGGACCCTGATTTCTCAAAGTGATGCCATAGAGTTCTAACACTAAAACGGAAACTAGAAATATCCTGAAAAGAAAAATTAATCTATCAAAATGTTATGTAAAGAGTGATTAAGCACCACTGCCTCAGGCTATGCATTTAAACTGCATTTGCCATGTACTTCAACCACAGAATACCTCCCAGTATTTTCCTGGCATCTGAGAAGCAGCATTTGTTGTGATACAGTGTAGGAGAGGCCTTGTTGCGTTTGAGCCAAGGAGACATGCCATGAAGGCAGTAGTCAAGGGGGGCATGGTGGAAAGTTACTCATACCATGAAGACACAGCATCCATGTGGAAAGTCTTATTGGGGGGAAGAGGGAAGGGAAGGGAGAGAAGAAGAAAGGGAGGGGGAGGGGAGAGAAGGGAGGGGGAGGTTCATGCTACCTCATGGTGAGAGGGGAGAGAGACAGAGGGAAGGGAGAGGAGTCCTTTTTCTTAAAAGGAACTTAAGATGGCATCAGGACACTGGGCAGGCCAGGGTATTATCTGCTTATTGGCCAGAATTCCAAGAAGTGGATCTGAATGCTAACAGTGTTCTCCATACACATGAGAAAAATTCAGATGATAATAGAAAGACATGGGTGGTACTGTAAAACCTCTTAGAATGTGTCAGTGACTTTTCTATTGGCTGTGCTAAGATACCATGACCAAGGAAACTTGCAGAAGAAAGGGTTTATTTGGGGCTTATGGTTTCAGAGGGTAAGTCCATGATTGTCATAATGGGAAGCGTGGCAGCATGCAGGCAAGCTTGGCACTGGAACAGTAACTGAGATCTTACATCTAATCCACAAGCAAGAGGCAGAGACAGAGGCTAGGGCTGGCATGGGCTTTTGAAACCTCAGATCCCTTCCTCCTCCAACAAGGCCACACCTCCTAATCCTTCCCAAACAGTTCCACCAACTGGGGACCAAGCATTCAAATATATGAGCCTATGGGGACTATCCTCATTCAAACCACCGCATTCCACTCCCTGGCTCCCATGGGCTTGCAGTCATATCATAATACAAAATGCATATCGTAATACGAAAGGCAAATTCAAAAGCTGTGGTGAGCCACAAGGAAATGACATAGGGAGTCCAGCTGTATATAATAAGCTATTCTTTGACTGATCAAGGGTCCGTCAAATGGGAAGCCTATTTGGTGTTATATAGTTTTAATATTCAGCTGTGCCTTGCTATGAATTTCTTGTGGGCCCATATACTACTAGATCATTTGGCAAACAGTTTAGCTTCTCAGACCTGTGGAACTTCTAGGTAACTAACTCCTGGCTGTAGATGCATAGCTTTGCTTCTTGTGCAAATGAAGCTCAGACCATCCCCTTCCTTCAGGCCTAGGGGCACAGCAGAGAGATTGACTGAGGACAGTAGGGTTTTTTGCATAACTAGGAGCAGTAAGGACTGGAGTGGAATTCCACAAGCAGACACAGAACCTCGTGGCCAGAAAGAAGAGAGGAAGACACAGATTCTGTAGAGGGTAAAGCAGATCTCTTGTAGAGTTTATCAGGGCCAGGGGTAAGGAGCCAGGAAGGACAGATGGAGGATGAAGGAAGAGAGGACGATGATGAGATCAAAAGTATAAGGCCTCAGTTATCACCAGGGCATTGAGGGGACAGAAAAAGTAGGTACAAAGAAGAACTGAGACTCAGGACAGAACTGAAGCTGTATAGCTAGAGTTTTGTCCTAAAGAAATAAAGTAAATGGACAAAAGAGCATAGTGTACATAGATTCCTTTCCCTCAGATACCCCACGCTGGATGCAGCGTCTTCCCCCGGACTCTGGGAGGAATTTTCTCAGGGTTGGAACTTGGGAAAATTCTATTAAAAAGCCCCCATAGCTGGGCGGTGGTGGCGCACGCCTTTAATCCCAGCACTCGGGAGGCAGAGCCAGGCGGATCTCTGTGAGTTCGAGGCCAGCCTGGACTACCAAGTGAGTTCCAGGAAAGGCGCAAAGCTACACAGAGAAACCCTGTCTCGAAAAACCAAAAAAAAAAAAAAAAAAAAAAAAAGCCCCCATAGTCTTTCACGGTCTCAATATAGTTTCAAAGTCCAAAGCGTCTTCTGAGTCTTAAGGCAATCTCTTAATTGTAAACCCCTGTAAACACAAAGAGCAAACTACAGCCAGGCATGGTGGCACACACCTTTAATCCCAGCACTCGGGAGGCAGAGGCAGGCGGATCTCTGTGAGTTCGAGGCCAGCCTGGGCTACCAAGTGAGTTCTACAACAGCCGGGGCTGTGAAGGGAGATTTTGTCTCAAAAAAAAAAAGAAAGAAAAAATAATTGATTTTTAAAGCAAATTACATATTTCCAACATACAATGGCATAATACATCACCATTCAAAAGGGGAAGAAAGGAAACATAAGGAAATACTGAACCCCAGCATGACAAACTCCAAACCCTGTAGCTCCATGTCTGATGTCAAAGGACTTAGATGGTTCCAGCCTTACGGCTTTGATGACACACCACACGTTTCTCTCTAGGGCTGGTTCCACTCCCTGTCTGCAGCTCTTCTCTACAAATATCCCACTGTGCTGGCATCTTCAAAATCTTGGGGTCTCCAGCACAATGCAGGCTTCACTTTCATAGCTTCGTGCAATGGCCTCTCCAGACCTCCATGCAGGGGCATCCTTCACAGCTTTCCACAGTGGCTTTCCTTAACCATGGAGGAAGATTTCACAACCCCTTTACTCCTTCACGGTGCTAGAGCCAGCACCATGTGGCCAATGTCGCCAAGTTCTGATGCCTGCTAGGGATGAAACTTGGTCCCCTCCTTGAACTGCGTTTGCATAAGCCTTGCTTCATTGCTTCCCTTTGCTGCATATGCTTTCCTTATTACAAGTTGTAAGCTTAGCTGGGCAGAGTCTTGCCCTGAGGTCACACACACACACACACACACACACACACACACACACACACACACGCTTTATTCCATTTGTGCCAGGTCTCTCCTTATCCCTTTCAACACAAGCCTTGGCTCCAACATTAAATTTCCTGGTGCTCTTTTCCTCTTCAAATTGTACATTTTGTATTTCTCTTTGCCCCATTTGCTTTTCTTGCATAAGAGTGGTCATAATAGAGCTGGGCGGTGGTGGCGCACACCTTTAATCCCAGCATTTGGGAGGCAGAGCCAGTGGATCTCTGTGAGTTCAAGGCCATCCTGGGCTACAGAGTGAGTTCCAGGAAAGGTGCCAAAGCTACACAGAGAAACCCTGTCCCGGAAAAAAAAAAAGCAAGAGTGGTCATAACAACCACAGGATAGAGTCAACATTAAGCTGTCTTGAAATCTCTGCCAATAAGATTAGTCCAACTTTTCACTTTAGCCTGAGATAGATTCTTAGTACAAGGGGGAAAAGTTGCCACGTTCTTTGCCAAAGTATCACAAGAATGATCTTTAGGTGCTAATATTGTTCCATTTTGAAACCTTGAGCCGG